AAATAAAAATGATTAAGTGCACTACTATCTAGATTTATTTCTTGTTTTTCATATCTATTCTTTATTTATTATTATAAAAGTAACTAAAATCTAAAAATTTGGATCTTTTAAAGTTATTTAAGACTAGATTAGGTAAAATAACTAATAATAATAATATAATTAAAATGGTTCAAGAGGCACACACGAGCAGCTCGTGGGTAACGTAATTCGATAGCTTGACATGGGCTACACATTCTCTGAGTGATTTACAACTTATAATGCTGTGGATAGTAGTTAGACATGGTTCAAAGGGCAATAAAACAATAAAATTTAATTATAAATACATGTTGTGATATAATGTTGTGAACTTAGAGCTACTTAGGATAAACAAATGTAGTTTCATGTTACAATTTGAAGTCATTCTAGAAAGAAAAAGTTAATCTAGGTTATTTCGATTTTTTTTTTCTGGTGGTCATGAGGTCGGTCGAATTGACCAATCCTGTTTTGAGATAGGGTAGAGAAAATAACAGATAAACTATAAAGTTTTACTGAAATGCATTTACGAGGTTTTAGGGATTACACAAAGGAAATTTGAGATTTTTGAGATGAAGAAAAGTATTTTAATATTAACATGAAAATTACTTTGTACACTGACTGTTCAAAACAAATACTTAATATATTCATGGAGAAATCTTTTATTTTATTTTATTAAAAATACTTCACTAAGAAATATGAGTTTTTGTATGTGAAAGACTTCTAATATTAACTGAAAGATTGTTAAATTTCGTGAAGATATACCTACTATATTGAGAATTATAAGTATTAAATCTATAAAGACTTTAAACAAGTACAAAAAGGTCATGTGGTCAGTCAAATTGACCAAACCTGTATTGAAAGTGTTAATAGAATCAACAGATAGCAGCCATCTGCTTGTTTAGTAGATGATGATCTGCCTTGTTCAGATGTTTAAGTAACTATACTATTCATTTGAAAGTAGTTCCATATTTTGCAAATGACAGTTTGAGACACTTGTAGCCAGTTTACAACAATTTACTGTGAGTACCTAGATTCCATTTGTTCATTAGATCTCCACTTAAATGAAACATTTAAATGTATTCTGTGAAGTTTACTTATTGTTCAGAAACAACTTGGAGTTCTTAAACTCTGTAATTCACTTCAGAATAATAACTAATACATGTTTTTGTTGACCACTCTGTTTAGCATAGGCTGAATTAACAGTCACTTATTATTCAAATCACATGACTGATTATTAATGTCTGGTTTGCCTACAAATGAACTGATTGGCATAATAACAGTGGTTTATCAAGTTATCGTAGCTATTAAAAATTCCAATTATTTATTAATGTTTTGTTCAATATAAGTAAAACAAATCATTATGTGGTGATTTCAAATAAATTTAAAAGAAATTAATGCATTCTGAAAAAAATGAGATTATTCAATTTTATTCATTATATAAGTTTAATCATTTCTAAATATAAATTTCAGTTAACCTAACACCATCTGCAAAATGATTATTTTTTTCCATGTGACAAGAGCTTCAAGGTCAATAATAAGTTATAAACAGTTAATTTCAGAATTTGGTTTCTTGTCTTTCTCCATCTCCATCTCTCTTTATTTCTTTCATGATCAGGGCTTGTTTTCTTCTTTTGCAGACTACAGAGGTGCACTATCAACCACTTTCAATTGCCACAGAAGTCATGCCTATTTTGGCCCTACTTTTTCAGGTTCTTTTGTTTTTAGTTTTCAGTTATGTCTTCCATTAGTATCTCAACATTATTCTCAATGGAATTTTTGTAGGCCAACCTACACTGGAGCATACTCATAAAACTGTTCCAGATTTGATGCTTAGTTATCCAGTGGTGGTGTGCTTGGACCCTCATATGAACACTGTCAGGTCTTAGGTTGTTCATGCAAGATGTCCACTATCTCTTCATAAATCTGAGCACAACATGGTCCCATCTTAGACCCTCGGTGGAACAGTGTTCCATGTCCTCTCCATAATCCCATGGGTAAGTGGAATTCTCCTTGCCCACTTGGTTGGGGAGTGAAAATGACTGTTTGTAAATCCAGACCAGATGAGTTCTGGACCTTCGGTGGAGTATGGCCTGGGGTGTTGCCTTTTGGACTTCTTCAGGTTGATCAGAAGGATTGTCCACTTTAGTGTTGCTTTCTTTCTTTCATAAGTCCGGTTGTTCGAAATGCATCATTCCATGGCTTCTGGTAGGGATCCTATCACAAAGATATGTATATATATATTTACGGTCCAAGTGCCCTTGACACCAATGGGGGATATGGGTACCAGGACCCCTTACTGCATCGTTGGAGCTGGCCCATCATACTTACTTTTGTAATATTTCACCCTTTTCACTTTTCTGTACTTCTATTTGTAGAGCATACCTGTTCTGGATGTAGTGTGGTTTTCCCTGCTTGGGTACCATCTTTCATAGTACACCTTTGTTCTGTGCAGATGCTTTCTGTATTAACTATGCCCTCACTGGCTCCTCCATCTTCTTAATGTGGGATTCTAGCCATAAGTGTCAGCAGAGGTATGTATGTTTTGGAAGTTATCATTTTTCTAATCTGAAAATATATTTCCAATAATACTTACCTCCGCTGACACTCTACTGCCCTTCCTCTGTATTAAGAGCTGGTGTTAGTGACCAGGATTAGGTAAGTCTCTAAAAGGGATTATATTGTCAACATACAGTGCTAATGTACAGTACCTGCATAGAGAACGTGTGAGGGCCGGTCTAAAGTTTAGCAAGTTGGGTATTGCTGAGGGCAGTCAAGTGGGGTATGAAGACTGGAGCAAGCGAATACGATGTTTAGATGGCAAAAATGAAGATGGAGAAATAGCTATATGTGTCACTGGAGGTAAGTATGCTTGGAAATACATTTTCAGATTAGGAAAATGATAACTTTTGCTCTAGTTACCCGTTGTTCTGGATAATTTCGTTATAGTATTGTGTGCTTTCTTTTATGGAAAATTGCTGTTAAGTAGAATACACTATGTAAATGTGTTGCAATCTTTTCTATGTTGTATCGAGTGATACCTTGAGGACACACAATTTTATATTTTTTATGAAATGGCCACCATTGACTTGAGTTAAAGACAGGTTTCATGTAGATTTTGAATCAATGGTCAGTTTTTTGGAAAACCAACATAGTGAGAAATAAGTAGGTCTACTGAAGCAGGACACTAAGTGGAAACTGATCTCCAAGTCTAAATCAAGTGCTAAATTTCTAGTTTTTTATGTATAATTTTTATTGTTATATATTTTTAAACAAAAGTAACTAAGATGTAAAAATTATAATTTTGATTGATTTGTTACTTTATCTGTA